TGACGTGTGTGAGAAAATTGTCCGCGCAGCAAAAGCCGGCGAAGCGTGCGGGAGCTCGCATGCTGAGACAGACTACGTCTGCAGACCGCCAGCTGCAAAAGGTTGCGAGCGGCTCTTGGAAGATGTTTACGGAACGGAGCTACGGTGTCTGAAAACATTGGCATCGAAGCGAAGAGCCTCGGAGCCCTGCAACCTGAGAAACACCGCAGGAACTCGCATACTGAAAAGGAATGCATTGCAAACCGCACGCTGCGAACCCTGCAGGCTGAGAAGCACCGCAGGATGTCGCATGCTGAAAAGCACTTGTACTGCAGAGCGCTAGCACTCCATCTCGGGCTCGGACCCCCCCGTCCTGATCCAGAACGTGTCCGGCCACGGCCTGAAAATGCCGTTCCAACTCCCGAGGATCAGCTGGCACTCCGGCTCTGGGACACTCCAGTACGTCTTGAGCACCTTGAGCCAGGCCCCATCTCGGGATCCCCACAGCACGCTGTACTTGACCGAGACCGTGCCGAACTCATAACAATTGACCTCCGAAGGACCTGCGATGCGGTGGTTCTGAGCCAGGACGAGGTCCGCATGGTCGAGCGTCGGCACCGTACGCCCATGCCCAGACGGACCATCCACGGCGAGCCACATCATCTGAGACAGCGTCTGGAGGGCGGTCGACAGGCGACTGGCGACTGGCGACGACGAGCTGGTCTTGGACTGTCAGGAACGCTACACGACCAAAAGAAAACGAAGCACGACCGAGGAAACACCAGAGCTCCTAGCTGGGAGGCGAGATCAAGGGGGACGAGGAAGAAGGGAAGAGGAGGAGGAGGAAGAGTCAGAGCAAGAGTAACGGTGAGAGTAAGAGTCAGAGTAAGAGTAAGGCGAACTGCACGAGTCGGAGTAAGAGTCAGGGCAAGAGGCCCCCCAAGCGGCCCCAAGAGGCCCCCAAGAGGCCCCCAAGAGGCCCCCAAGAGGCCCCAAGAGGCCCCAAGAGGCCCCCAAGAGGCCCCCAAGAGGCCCCCAAGAGGCCCCCAAGAGGCCCCACGAGGCTCCAAGAGGCCCTCCAAGGGCTGGTGGTACTCGGCTTTTAATCATGTGGTGGGAGGGCGGAACGCGAGGGCTTACGGCCGCCCTTCGGGTTTGATCACTGCTCCTTATCAATCCCACCAGCCCTTTGGGCGTGAGTGGTTTAGGGAGCCCGCTCTGTTCTCAACCCCCCTTCTTCCCCTTCGGGGAAGGGTTTACCCCCCCCCCTACCCCCTCCCCCTGGGCCTGGAGAGGGCGCCCCGCGGGTCGTTTGAGGGGTCTTTTTCGACTCCTGGGAGGGCTAAAAAAACGACGACCCTCACGAGGATTCTGGCCCCGACGGGGGGGCACCGTCTGGTCCCCCTCCTCTTCTTTAAAGCCAGAATCATTGATTGTACTACGGTTTTGGCCCCATTTGGGCGTCCTGAGGGGGCCGCGCTCATCTTCCTTCACAGCAAAATCATTGATTTTACGAAGGTGTTCGGCTCATTTTGTCCTTCTCAGGGGGCAGCTCTCATTTCCGCTTTTGAGGAGGTCGCAAGAGGCCCCAAGATGGCCCCAAGAGGCCCCCAGGAGGCTCCCAAGAGGCCTCCAAGAGGCCCCCAAGAGGCCCCCAAGCGGCCCCAAGAGGCCCCCAAGAGGCCCCCAAGAGGCCCCCAAGAGGCCCCAAGAGGCCCCAAGAGGCCCCCAAGAGGCCCCAAGAGGCTGAGAAGCACCGCAGGAACTCGCATGCTTTCGAACACTACTGCTCGAGACCGCAGCTGGAGAGCGGCAGACCGCAGGCTGAGAAGCACCGCGGGCAGGGAGACTTGCAAAACTCAGATGTCCTGATCGTCTTGGAGGAAGTCACGCCAGTCCGGCGGCTGCCAAGAATCGATGATGCGCCTGGAGCCACCGCCCGTGCTGCCGCCGATGTCCAGGTAGTCGCCATCGGCCCTGAACAGACGGCCGTGCCCCAACGCCAGAATCGCTTGGTTGCGGATTTGAAGCAGCTCTCCGCTCTCAAACATCTGCAACACGTCCAGCTGCCTGCGCGTGAAGTTCGGCTTTGGCTGGCCAGCCTGGGCAGACAGATGGCGGGAAAGCCGCTCCCCCTCGTTGTAGCGCGCGATGGCCTCGGCCTTCTGGTGGTGCAGCCGGCGCCGCTGTTGCCGCAGAGCTTCCTCGGGAACTGCTGCATCACGGCCCTCACTGTGATCAGCTTGCAACGCTTGCGTTAGCCAATCAACGTCGAAGCGCCCTGAGAAGGCCAGCACCTCCCAGATCTGTTTGGTACCGGCCACACGTTGCAAATGGCGATGCCACCGCTTACGCTTCTGGTCTTTCACAAACTTGGCGACGCTACCCAGACCTGCACCCTTGGCCTGGCCACCTTTTCCCGCAGGCTGAGAAGCACCGTGAGAACCTTTCTTACCGCCTGGCCCTTTGTTAGGACCCTGCGGAACCGCATGGCCCCCTTGTGGCGCAGACTTGCCTCTCGCTTTTCCCTTTTCGACATCCCGTTCCTGAAGCGCACGCTGCTGCCGCGACTGCTCGTACTGGTCGCGAGCTACTCTGACCAATTCCTGGCGCTCAGGCTCCGTGAGAACGCAGCGCATGTCGTCGATGTTCTTGCTCCGCAGAAAGTCATGTCGAAGCTTAAGGACAGAGAGAATGGCTCGGCCAGTCTCCTCCTGAGACGCAAAGGCCGCGTCATATTCCGAGCCATGCTGAGGAGCGCCAGCTGGATCAGTGTCCGCTGGCTCCGTGGACTTCCTCTTTTTGAAAAGCAAGAGACTGAGATGGTGGAGGACTTTCGGATCGCACTCCTCGTCGTACCTTTCGTCCCAAAGCTGCCTCAGCTCCCTGTGCAAGTCGTTCGCGCGATTCTGAACGACATCCTCGACGTAGTCGGGATCACCCGGTGAAGTCGGTGAAAGCGGAGGAGTAGAACTCGGCGACCGATCCCAATGCACAGAAGACTCGGCGTCCGCCTGTACGCTGACGTCGGCGTCGGAGACGTTTTCGACGACAATCTTCCGCCTCTTGCTCTCCCCAGGCTGAATAGCACCAGGGAGAGTGAGCACAACCGCCACCGCATCGTGTGCGTCGTTGCGCATGCCACGATCCGTAAAAGACGCGCCAACGGCAATGGAGCAGAAACGGGCGACTGCTCCGCAGACCGCGACGTGGTCGCCTTTGAGGTCGGCCGGAGTGGCATGGACCTCCCAGAGCTTCTCGTCGTTCTGCTGGCGCTGGTAAGCCTCCCGCGCCTCCTGGAAAGTGAGGTTGTCGTCGCCGACTACAAGCAGAACGACTGGCACGTGCGGCTCCGAAGCATTGAGAATCTGAGCCATGCAGTCCAGGTGCAAGCGGAGATGGCGAACTGTCCGCTTTCGAGTCTGGATGGTCGGCGGTTTCTTGCCGCACACGATGTGCATGTTGGCGATCACCACGTGGAACTTGTCATGGCCTGGTTTGTTCACCTCAAAATGTGAAATAACAGCATCAATCTCTCGGCCGCTAGGAGGCCTGTAAACTTTGCTGTCTTCGCACAGAGTCAGTTCCGCAGGCTGAGAAGCACCGCGGAACCCCCAGAGAGTCAAGTAGTTGTCGACCTCCGAGAAGCGAATGCCATCACCGAAAGGCTTACTGAGGATCTCTGTCACGTTGATCCCTGCTCGGCGAAAGCCTTCACGGAACGCACCGACCTCGCAGCCACAGACAATATCAGCATCAGCGGTCTCCACTATCGTGGCGCACACCCTTCCGAAGTTAGCGCAGTGAGTGGCCGCCTGCTTACCAGTCATCATGCCCTGCTCGAACCCGAAATTGAACGAGGCGACCGTGAAAGACGCAGGCTGCACAGCGCCAGAACCAGGCGTCTGTCCACCTTCCTCCGCAGGCTGAGAAGCACCGCGAGGCGGCGCAGGCTGAGAAGCACCGCGAGGCGGCGACACTTCGGACGAGCCTCGCGGAGCAGAGGCTGCGGATGAACGTTGGATATGGGGGTACGGCCAGGGGAACGCCATTGCAATCGAAACTCAGTGGACTGCAGTGAGTGAATGCAGTGGCACGATTGAATGCAGTGGACTGCAGTGTCACTAGCAATTCCTGAACCAAACACGGCTGTGGCGGAAGGACTACGAAGCGTCTGGCTATTCAAAATGTGGCCCGGGAATGGAGTTCTGGGATCTCGAAGACCACGAAGTGGACTACAGTTGGCTCCGGGCATCCAAAATGTGGCCCAGGAATGGAGTTCTGGGAACTCGAAGAGCACGAAGTGTGTGACTGTTGCATCCGGCCCTCCAGAATGTGGCCCGGGAATGGAGTTCTGGGAACTCGAAGAGCACGATGTGTGTGACTGTTGCATACGGCCCTCCAGAATGTGGCCCGGGAATGGCGTTCTGGGATGTCGAAGAGCACGAAGTGTGTGACTGTTGCATCCGGTTATTCTAAATGTGGCCCGGGAATGGCGTTCTGGGATCTCGAAGAGCACGAAGTGTGTGACTGTTGCATCCGGGTATTGAGAATGTGGCCTGGGAATGGAGTTCTGGGAAGTCGAAGAGCACGAAGTGTGTGACTGTTGGTGAAAAACGAGCCCGGCACCTGCCGCCCGGCAACTCCCAACACCTGCCCGGACCCCCCTGTGGAGTGATCTGCTGCTCTCTTTTGATCCCACTAGAAACCTATCAGTCTTCGCTGTTAGGTAAAAACCAATACGCGGAGGGGGGCCGGCCATTTCCTGGACGTCACCGAGGGAGAGAGGAGAGTAGTGTTTTTATAGTGTGTAACTGTGGAGGAGAAGGAGGAGGAGGAGTCCACGTAGCCGGAGGAGGAGGAGGAGGAGGACGGAAGGAAGGAGAAGGTGTTATGGAGAAGGAGGAGGTGGAGGAGGAGGAGGAGTTGGAGGAGGACGAGCCCAACTTGTCTTGAGCGCCAGATCTCTCGGGCCGCGCCGCGGGGGGGGGGGACCCGCCGCGCGCAACCACGGAGCGGGCCTGCTGCCACAGGAGCAGGTGCTGCTGCAGGTCTTCCATCGCCCGCCCGGCCCAGTCGGGGCCCGGCAGCCGCGCCCCGACGGGCCCCCCTCTCGAGCAGAGGCGCAAGCAGGGCAAGGGCAGCGGGGCAGGGATGAGCCGCAAGATGTTCCATACATAGATTTAGGGGAACGAACAATGACATAATATAATAATTCGGAGGTCCGCGCGGAATTCTCGGATCGGCGCTGGGGCCCCCTGGCCCCTGGCGGCGCCTCCGGCGCCGCCCCTGGCGCGCTCCGCGTGCCAGGAAGGGCGGTCCAGCGCGGATCCGCGAAATCCGCATGGACCTCCGAGGTTTTTATGTGTATGCCATGTTTCGTTCCCCCAGACAGGGCAGCGGGGCAGGGATGAGCCCCACGACGTCCCACAGATTGGCCGTAGTCGCCGCTTCAGTGCGAAAGCTTTTCTCGCCGCGTGCGGACCCCCAGAGGGCCTCCGCAGGGCCCTCGGGGCCGCCGAGCAAGACGGCTCGGGGCGAGAAGCCGGTGCCGGGGAACGGGTCGAGACCTCTAGAGGTCCACGTGCCGAACTGTCGTGGTGTCGGGTGTCTGGGGGGGGGGGGGGGGGCAATGGTTGAGCAGGGTCCGACCGTCCCGGCATTTCTGTAGGCCTACTACGATGTGTTCTCTCAATGTTCTTAGAACATAAAACCGGTGTGACCAAACAAGACAGACTCAGCCAGAAATGTTCTAAGAACATGTCGCGCAGACCCAAAAAGGTTCTTAGAATATTCTTTGGTAGGCCTACAGGCCAGCCAGGACGCTTCGCCACTGCTTCAAGTGGGGGGAACGGGGGGCCTTCGACCCCGGCGCCTCGAACTTTCTTTCGATTCGAGCCAAGAGCTTTTGTTGCCCCGTGTAGGGCCTGAGCCCTCCCAGATCGCTCCAGCCCAAGAGATGGTCCGGTTGCAATGCTTTCGCGCCGTCTGATCTTCTGGGGAGGTGGAGAGTGAGCGCGGAAGGGAAGACGAAGACGGATCTCCGCGCCACTGCGCGAGGAAGGAGGAAAAACGGGAGGGGGGGCAGAGGAGGGGGGAGAGGGAGTCAGACAAGCCCGGCGCGCCCGCGCCATATCTGGCAGACTGGACCCCCAGACGAAAAACAAATCCAGGCGAAAAGCTCAAACACATGCACTTCGGATTATCGCGGCGCAGGTGACCGGGGGGCCTTTTGGTCACCGGGTCCGACCAGGCGCGAGAAGAAGTTCTGCGAGCAGTAGCACACAAACCTATTGCAATCCTCGCGAGAAGATGCTCGCAAATCCTCCCGCGTGCAGAGAAGCCCACAATTCATTATCCCTTTGGGAAGTTAGCACCCAAACATGATCCAGCCCACCCAACAATTAACGGAAACTGATCCCACGTCGCCGCGCGCCGACCAGGCGCCAGCAGTAGTTCCGCCGGCAGTGCTCGGCTGGCGAGTTTGAGCAAACTCGCAAATCAAAACGAAGCAATTCACATTGCAATCATCATGAGAAGATGTTCACGCATCATCCAGCGCGCAGAGAAGCCCACAATGGGTTATTCCACTCGAGAAATAGCCCCCAAACATTATCCAGCCGAACCAATAGAGAGAAACTAATCCCACGTCGCTGCGGCGTGGAGACGCACGTGGACCCTCCCAATCGAGCCTTCGGTGGAGCTCCCCATGGGGACACGAAACGTGTGATGGATGCGCCGAAATGCGGCGGGACAAAAAACCATGTGGACATGTGGACCCTCCCACTGGGGCCTTCGGAGGACCTCCCTATGGGTCCACGAAAGATTTGCGGGGTGTACTGAATTGGTAGACTGATGCGGGGAGGAGAAGCAGGAAGGGAGGAGGAGAAGAGAGGAGAGGAGAGGAGAGGAGACGCGAGGACTGTCTCTTCAAAACGAGCACTCAGCATCACAGGATAGTTGGGGGAAAATGGAAGTGTGGTGCACAAGCAAGACAGGGGAGCTGTGTAACTTAGGAGAAGGGGGAGGTGGCGGATGAGCTGGAGGATGAGCAGGAGGAAAGCGAGCAGGAGGAGGAAGGAGGACGAGGAGGAAAAGCAGCAACAGGAGCAGGAGTGGAAGCAGCGGGACGAGCAGGAGTACCAGGGGAATGGCGAGGAAGGGAATGAAGCGGGGAGACAACAGTAAGGGTGGACTCGGATCCAATCGAATAAACCGCGCTGGGGCGGAAGCGCCTTTCTGGGCGACGGGAGCCAAGCAATTTAGAGTCCGTGTGTCTGCCACCGTGCCGCTGGACACGGAGTGAGCGGTTCCGCAGGTCCTTCGCCCAATCCCCTGAGCCTGCCCTGAAGTCCTGAAGAGTGTTTTAGGGGCCTGGACCCACATTGCCGAAATCTCTTGGTGCTCGGCGCGTGCCCCCTGTGGTTCCCGGCATCTTGTCGCATAATTTCTCTGGCTCGACAGGGCCTCTGGACGGGCCCCGAGGGCCCCAAGAGGACATCAAGACGGTCCAAGATGGCCCCGAAACGGCCAAGGCGCCCCAAGAGGCCTCCGAGAAGACACCCAAGAGAGCCCCGAGAGGCACAAATCATTGGTGTGACATGTTTTTGTTATGTGCCTTCTCGAGTTTTCGGCTTCTCGACGCTCCACGGCAGCCAAGAGGCCTCCAAGACCGCCACAAGACGGTGGGAGTGGCCGCCAACACGCCCCCAAGACGGTCCACGAGGGCCCAAACGGCCCGCGAGCCTCCCCAAACGGCCTGCTCGGGGCCTAAGACGGCCCCAAGAGGGCGCATGAAGGGGAGATAAGAACCGAAAACTCAAGCCTTCCGCCCCGAGAGGGTCACAGAAGGCCACAAGAGTCCTCAAGAGGCCCCCAAGAGGCCCCCAAGAGGCCCAAAGAAACCCCCGAGAAACCCCAAAGGGGCCTCATAACGGCCCCCCAAAGGAATCCAAACTGCCTCCAACAGGCCCCTGAGAGGCCTCTCTCGACACCCCAACGAGCATTCAATAAGCTTCATACCCACAGCCCAGGCACGGTGGTCGGATGAGCCGGGGCCATCAAATAAAAGGCAACACGCGGAGAAGGCGAGACGCTTTCAGCACGTAGTCGTGAGGAGAGGAGGGTCATATTCAGATTGAGTGCTTGTGCAGAGGGGGGTGGGAAAGGGGAAAGATGGAGAGGGGAAGCCTCGGGGATGAGATGCTTGACTTTGAGTACTGAAGGGCCACATCACATAAAGAATTTCGAGCACCCAGGACAATATCGAAACAGTGTCGAACGAGTATCGCCTCCCAGGGCCCAACACGTGAAAACATTCAAGTTTCGGTACCTTCTTGGTGCTCGAATTTCTCTCTGGTGATCAAGGCTAAAGTAGTTTGGAACATCATAATTCAAATCCTGTTGGACAGGTCCGGGCGCGAGTGAAGAGGGAAAGGGTGGAGGGGAAGGAGGGGAAGGAGGGGAAGGGGGGAAAGGGGACGCGGGAGGGGATAGAAGGAGAAACAAGACTAGAACGTGGAAACGGCAAGGATACCGGGGGGCGGGTTTGAGGATGGCATTCGGGCATGACTCCCGCGTGTGAGCGCCCTCTCCCTCTCCCTCTCTCTCTCCCTCTTTCTGTCAAACGCTGATCCCCCGAAGATGGCCCTGCTCCTCATACTTTTGTTTTGCTCCACGATGCGTGTGCACAGCCAGAAGGCATTGCCAGCATACCTTGGACATCATAGCACCTACAAGATAGGAGATCGTACGATGATGTGCGCGGTCTTCCTTGCAATGCATCAGAAAACGAAGTATTGAACCAGCGATGAAAAAGTATCGTTGGCCATGCTACAGACGCTGTCATTGACAATGTGGCAACGATATGCGACGCTGACCTCTTTGGAATACAGGTTATTGTTTAGGAAGGCGCTATCATTCTAAGAAGAAGCGAATACATGCACACGCAAGCGTCGACTCAGTGGAAAAGGCACAGCCACGTGACTTGGATCGTTCTCTGGCGACACACCTGGCTAGGGACAGAAGTCCGCTCCACAAAGGGGACGCAAATAAGATGGTCGATAATGATGAGAGCACGCATGAACGAACCAATGAACACGGCTTATATTTCAAGGCGGATGAAGCACGGTGGGAGCAATGAACCACCACCGGCCCGACCATTCGGCGTGCACTGCAAGCGGTGCCGCGCTGTCTGCGCTGCTCCCGCTCGGCCTGGGGAAAGACCACGGACGTCGACATCGCAATGCCAGGGCACCTGCAAAGCCGTTCACCCAAACAGTGCGCCACTGCCAAGATGGAGCTCATCCAAGGTAGGGTTCACAATGAACGCTGCGTGGCCGAGCAGTTGCTCAGCGGGTACACCCGCTCGGGTTTTACCATCTCCATTCTTCCAGGCAGGCACACCGATGTCCATACAAGCCAGCACGACGCTCTGCTGCAGTGGAGAGACGTTTGCCGCGACTGCTTCGAGGAACCGACAGCGCCAGCCGCCGCGGCACCGGCACCAGCTGCGCCAGCAAACTGGCCCGCCCGGACAGCGACGGCAAAGCCGCATGGCAGCAACGACCGACGCGAGAGCCCGCAGCGACTTTCTGGCCTCGCTCGTGCGGGCCCCTGGGGCGTCCCAGAGGGGGCGTCTGCTGGCGAGGGGGGAACCCAGGCGTGAGGAGGCGGGGCCGCCGACGGGGCAACGCCTTGGGAGCCGGAAAGCACCAAGCCCCCGCCGCCAGCGGCGTGCCCCATCCGCGCCAACCGCCGCCGCTGTCGTCGGACGGAAGCGGCGGGTCCAACCCCCCGGCCCCCTTCCGACGAGGGCGGCGGGGCAAGGCGCCCCCCGCCACCAGACCCGCCCCGCCGAGACGCCGCCTTCGGCCATCTGGCTTCGGGCCCTCCGTGTACATTCGCGCCTAGAACGAAGCGGCCGCGCGGATGGCCGGCGCCTCCGCGGGCGGATTGGGGCGAGGAAGCAGAGGGCGAGGAAGTGGGAAGACGAGGAGTAGACGACGGGCGGCCTGACGAAACCGATGCCCCACCTGGTGGCCGAAGGGGACGTTCGAAT